ACTGAGATTAAAAAAATCCATCTAAAGAAGAGTTTAGTAGCTTCCAAAATCATGAGGGAGAAAAAGAGGGTCTGATTCTATATTCTTCACCATGATCTCCAACTCTACTCTGTATTTCAGAGCCGTATCAGACATGTATCCCATTCCAGCTGGCTTCTATTAGGCAACGCAGAGTCAGAGTCCATTTCCAGGAAAGGATGGGAGAGGAGTCTGGCAGGTGAATAATCATCAGCACCTGACTAATTAGTAGGGAAAGTAGCAGGGGCTTTTAAGAATCTCAGAGGCCCCAGTCTGCAGAATGAACCTGGAATTAGTCAGGGTATCTTCTGAACTGTGAGATTTGCTGGTGCGGGCTTCCTGCTGGGGAATTATGGAGCTGTTGCAACCAGAGGATGGAGCCTGTTGAATCAGGTATCAATTGTGCTTTGTGTGGTTGACTCTTTACAGAAACCTGTCCTTTAGAAAGTGGAGTACATGGTTGTTTTCCCACCCAAATGCTTAGCAGAGCTACCTGGCCAGCCAAGTAAGGTGCAGAGTTAGCCCTATGGTAGGTCTAGAGAGAAATTCCAAATACATCCCTACAAAAGTGGTTTCTGTAATCAGTTACAGTGGAAATTAGATTGCCCTTGTGGTGATGCTCTGAGGCTGTACCTGAAGAGCTTGCACAGCAGTAGGGAGTACTTTCCTCCCATACCAGGAGCAAACTGAATCCTCTCTCCTCTTGTCTGTGCGCTGAACATGCAACAGGGACTGCCAGGGCAGCCAAGGAAGCCTCGACCGCTGTCTGTGCTACTGAAGGTTGGGCTGAGTTCTCTTCTGTTGTGAATTTCTTTCACATCTGCTCTATGCATTGTTACTCACTTTTTGCAACACTTGGCACTTCTAACTGTGGGATCACAGCCTCCTCTACACAGGCCGAAACACAAGCTTCAGTTAGCTGTTGGCCACTTCATCTCTCAACCACAGCTTATTTCTAAAAAAAAACCCATATGGCATAAGCTTTCTCTTTAACAAATTGAGTGTTTTCTGCTTGTAAATAAGGAAAGAAGTTTTTGCTTCTGTCATCTTGACTGAAAGCAAATTGTGCCAAAAGAATTCTTGATAGGTGGTGTGAGCAGCAGAACAGTACCTGGCACCGCATGTCTTGGAAGCGCATACAGAGAGACTCTCCAATAAACTACTACTTTTTTTTTTTTTTTTTTTTTCCCCCTCTCCTCTGTGACTGAGAGCTGAAGGTGTTGGCATCTGCAGCCAACATCTGGAATTTGGTCCAGAACAGCCAATTCACTACCTGTTCTACAAAACCATAAGACATGATGTCTTGAGATAATCATCCTCATTAGTTTGATCAGAAAGAATTTTTGGTCAAGCAAACAGTACAGCAGGTAACAAAGACAACTTTCAGAAGAGATTACAAGGAAAGATAGGAAACTTTGATTAAAAGCCATTTAAAGTGTTATCAATAGCCTGTCAAAGATGGAAGAACCCTTTTCTAATCACATAACAACCTGCTTTCTTGATGGGAATTTTCTCTCTGACATACAAAATGTTAAGCAAAACCTGTTAACCTGCTGTGTCTACAGCACATGCAGCAACACTCTGCCCCGGCCCCAAACCTCCCACGTGCTGTTAGCATGAAGATTCGGTCCACAAAAATGATCACAAGCAGCAAGCAGCAGTACAGACCCAGAAATTGTCAGCGTGTGCTGCAAAGATTTAAAACAAACAAAAAAACCCCCACAAACAAACCCCAAAAACCGCAGAGCCAGGCATGATACATACTTAGGATCTATTTGGGGCATCAGCTGAATAGACACACTGCATAAACTTGAAGGCTTTTAAGGGTTCTTCATATTTACGTTCTGATTTTTAGAAATACTGTAAATCCCACATAAATTGGAAGGGGACTGTAAGATTGCCCATGGACCAACCTGGTGTTAGACAAATCCAATGACAATAAAACTCAAAGTATAGTGGTAGGGTCACAGTGTTTTAGCCTTGTGTCTTTAGTGGTTTAAGTGCCGAGTTAGGAAGAATGTCTGTCTAGCTGGTAACTGTTCAGAGTTTAACTCTGATCAAAGAACACCTTTTTGAGCAACTCCTATGATACTAGCATTAGCTAAGGCCCACCATGGAAGTCTGACATAGCGAGGATCTTGCATTTGCCTGCCATCTATTTCTAAATTGTGGGTTGAACGTCACCCTCTGCCACCAAGAGACATGATGGGTTTAGAGCCTGCCCTGAGACTGCCCAGGAAAGGAATTGTCATGGCGCTCACACCCTGTGTAGGCGCATGTTCTCAGCCAGCTGAACCCACAATAAGTTTCTGCTCATAGGAGCCAGTTCTCAATACAGGATGATCAGCTTGTAGAAGAGACATGGAATCAAATAGGAATGCAAGAGGCATAGTTTACAGAGGCTTCCCACCTACAAACACACTGCCAGAAAACACCCAACTAATGATGTTACTTCTATACATTCTGAAAAAGTAGAATATATTGCCTCTTTATCAATGAACATTAGGAAGACAATGAAGATGGAGGATGAACTGAAAATACCTGCTAAAGCCGTTTTTTATAACACAGAATTCTAGTTTTGCTATGCTTTTTGAATGCCCTTCTACTGTCCCCTTCCCTGCTATCAATTATGTTTGAAATCCCTTAACAGTTCTCATGTACAAAATTTCCTTGTTGAACACAGAACAATGTATTAACAGTGATTTTGTTAGAAATGAGCTTGTTATATATTCATTTTGTGCTGCATTTCTGCACATGGAGTTCTCACTGAATGATTCTTGGATCTAGATCTTCAAGAAATCAGAAAGATGAATGCCACCTTAATCCAAAGAAACAGATTTGAAGAATGTGAAAATCATATATTTAGAATATAGGGAGAAGACATTAGGGATTTAGTCCGTCCTTATATATATATATATACACATATATATATATATATGAGTCAGTTCCCACTCAGAAAAATACAGGAACTACTACAAGAGTTGTAAGAAGTCTTACCTTTGAAATAAAGAAATGTATTTTAATAAATAGAAAAATAATGCCTCAAGGCGTACTAAGACAACTAGTATTGAGGTAAAAGTAAACTTAAACACAAAATTTTCTTTGGGAAAAACTCCTACAAAAGTGCGTAATATAATTTGTTACCCTTTCCCGCAAAGCACATTAACTTGCCAAGGGAAAAAAAAAAAAAAAATTATTGTTCTGCTTAAAAAATATATCTCCCTTGCTCCTTTTCAAGGCGTTAGATTGCATTTGTCCTGTGAAATATGTAAACTAACCTGCTTTTGAGGGCTTGCTGGATTGTGCGTCTTTTCTTACGTAACACAAACAAGACCTGAGCTCTGGTGCTCATTAAAGAGTTAGCGCTTTCCATATTGTTCGTAAGAAATCATAGTTCATGTTTAGTCTCGGCCTCCTGACAGTATTTTTCAACAGTTGAGAAACCTGATGAAACAATAATGCTCTCTTTAGCTGCTACTACCAAATGTTAGGTTAGATGTGAGTTTTGTGGAAGTAACGCGCTCTTTGGCAGCGATTCCATTCAGCAGGGCAGACCAGGCCAGGCCGCCGGCTTCCAGACCCTTCTGTGTGGCAGTCAGGTGGGCGTTCAAGGATCACCCACTGTATTCACAGACCAGCTGAAGATGCGATACCACAGCAAACAAATATTATCACTTGTTAATCCTCCAGAGGATTCCAGGCACATTCAGTTCCTCCTGGGTCTCTCAGCAGCACCTGCATTCCCAGGCTGGCGCTCTCTCCCTTTCCATCACCGCTGCAGCAACGCCCGGGCCTGCCGCTTGCCCGTTACCTTTTAGGCAAGGTCAGACTTCCAGGCGCCCCGGGCTTCGGTGCCCATCGCGACGGCCGGAC